GTTGCCTGCTGAGGGCCATCAGAAGAAAGGCTCAGCCTTAAGCAGAGGCTGCTAGCAGGGCCGGGGGCAACGCCCCGGTAGGACTCGGGGGCACCAGGGGCTCTTGCAGACTCCTCATCTCTCCGTCCGGATGGCGTGCTTTGATGGAGGAGCCTTTCTTCACTTTCTCACAGCCCACCGCTATTCATACTCTCATAAAGCCTCAGCGCTGCGCTCTGCTGATGATTAATCAGGGGTTAATCAAGGATTCCTGATTAAGCCGTTGTCTGAAATTCCCTTTTGCTTTGTTTTGCATGTCAGGATCAAGCTGGGTAGTTTGACACCCCCACCTTCCCCCCTCGTTTGACACCGGTCTGTCCCACAGAGACGCAGCTATTCTACATCCAACCGCTGCTGCAGAGCTGAACCCAAAGGCGAGACTCTGCTGATCTGAGCAGCTGCAAAACACCCACAGAATTTGCCCACCTAAAAGAGAAAAAGATTGCCCTCGGGTTTTATGCTGCTACTCTTCACAAGTCGTTATGAGTTAAAGGCAGCAGATGACTCAGTTTCATTTTCAGTGTCACACAGATGAGTAAAGAAATGCTGTTTTCTTTATTTATTCATCAGCTTATGGATAATTTGCGGAGAAGAATGGTAATTTTCAAAAGAATTTAGTTACGTATCTCCTTTTCACGCTGCTTTTCCCCTGGGAGTTTGAAAGGACTGTGAAGCCAATAAATATAAAATCCCTCGAGGCCGCCCTGCCATCTATTCAAGACCATGGCGTTGCAGTGCCCAGTGCAAGAGCCCATCCAGGCACGAACTCAGACACAAAAAGATCAACGTCCCAGTGACCAAAATTTAAAACCACTCCTGTCCCACTTCAGCCCCCTGAGCGGGCTCCTCCCGCACCCGCGCCCGGGTCACAGATCCAAAGCCCTTCCTGAGCCGAGCTTCGCTTTGCCTCGTCCACATCCTGGTGCCCAGCATTTTCAGGCGAGGAGACTTCCCAAGCCGCACGTTTTTCACACGTAGTCAGCAAACATGAATGGATCTTCCCTCCACGAACTTGTCCCGTCCCTCCACGGGCCCCTGTGAACTTTCCACATCCCAGTCCCTCAGCGGGCAGTCCTGCCGCGGCTTGCTCTCGCGCGAAGGACGAGCTGCTTTCTGTTTCGGACCTGTTCCTCCTCGTCAGCCTTCATTTCTAGCACGGGAAGAGTCAATCACCGTCCACACGCATTAACTCTTTGTGGCTGGAACTGACTTTGCTTTCAGCCCCTGCACTTGGCCCCTAGTGAGGCAGATGATGACTAACAGAGAACAAAATGCGTAAGAGCTCTAAAAAGCCATTATTCTCCCTTTAATCTTCAAGCAATTTATTAATGATGTGACAGGCAGTAAACAGGGTACCATATGCTGTTGTTTTAACGTAACTTTATTTGCATCACAATAATGTTAAATTACACTGCTGCCTTTACATAAAACTAAGTAAAGTTTACTGCCTTTTCTGAGGTACCCTGTTGCGTATAACACACGTCAGAGGCCACGCTCACTGAAAATTCAAATAATTTAGGTCCAGTTCCAGTAACGTTGCTAACAGGTTCTGAAAAAGACCTTGAAGAAACACGAACACTTGTCCAGATGCAGAGGCACCCACCCAGAAGGTCCCCGTTTTCTGGAAGTCAAGCAGCAGGGGTACAGCCAGAGACCCCTTGTCAGCGCAGGCCCTCACAGCCTGAGACCGGGAAGAAATTCCCACCAAAACCCTGTTGCATTTAAATCTTCCCTCACCCAAAGGAGCTGATTGTGGCAGGTACACTACAAACCCAGGGTCTTTGCATCAAATAATAACATACTTCTCCTGGGAATTTCTCTCTCTGCTGTCCGGATAAGGAACCGACACAGAAGAGAGCTTGCCCCGATTCATGCGTCGGCTGTGCGGAGCTCAGCACCTCCTGGGCTGCAGCCCAGACGCCGGCCGGCAAGGAGGCACTAGGGAAGCTGTTCTGTGGGGTCGCTGAGCCTGCGATGGACAACTGAGCCGTTAAACCGCTGGTGGTCAGCCTGGGCCGTGTTGTACCGTCCTGCCTCATCACCCCGGGAGCCCCGCATCTGCTCTCAGAAAAAGCCCCCCCAAATCCTTCACTTCATGTCATCATAGAATATTCTGAGTTGGAAGGGACCCACAAGGATCATCGAGCCCACCTCCTGTCCCTGCTCAGGACAACCCCGAAGTTGTTGGGGTTGTCCCCAACCATACGTCTGAGGGCGTCGTCCAATTGCTTCTTGAATACCGTCAGGCTTGGTGCCGTGACTGCCTCCCGGGGGAGCCTGTTCCGGCGCTCCACAGCCCTCTGGGTGAAGAACCTTTTCCTAATGGCCACCCTAACGCTCCCCTGGCATAGCTTCCTGCCCTTCCCTCGGGTCCTATCCTTGGTCGCCAGGGAGAAGAGATCAGCACCTGCCCCTCCTCTTCCCTCGTGAGGAAGCTGTAGACTGCGATGAGGCCTCCCCGCGGTCTCTCCTCCAGCGTGAACACACCAAGTCACTTCAGCCGCTCCTCGTCCGGCTTCCCCTCTAAACCCTTCGCCATCTTCGTGGCTCTCCTCTGGGCGATCTCTAGGAGCTTTGTGTCCTTTTTGTACTGTGGCGCCCAGAGCTGCACACAGTGCTCGAGGTGAGGCCGCAGCAGCGCAGAGGAGAGCGGGACGATCCCCTCCCTCGGCCGGCCGGCCACGCGGTGCTCGCCGCACGCCAGGACACGCTGGTGTCACCCTGGGGCGCATCATCGCGATCTGCACCTCTTCCCCTTCAACTCCAGCACCCGCTGTGCCCGCGGGCGGGAATCCCCGCGGCCGGGAACCCTCCCCCCGGCCCCGCGCGCCTGCCCGCCCCCCCAGCCAATCCCCCGTGCTGGGGACAGGGGCGCAGGCTCGCCATGGGGCTCCCCCGGCGCCGCTGAGCCTCCAGCCGGCCTCTGCCTTCGTCCTCCCGGCAGCCGCCAGGCCCCGCAGCGCCACAGGCGCGGACCCGCCTGGGGCGCACAGATGG